GGGGGGGGGGGGGGGGGGGGGGGGGGGTCAAGGGGCCCCGCTCCAATAATATGCCACAAGCCCCGCGGAACGTTAATCCGGCCCTGCTTCTCATACGTTGCTCTCATACGCAATAGTGTGACAGGGCCTTAAGGTTCAATCCTACATGCATTTCCATGATCACACTTTACTGACCGGAAAAAAGTCAGCGACTTAACCATGGTTGCAGGCCATTGGTATATAGATGGTTGACAGATGGTTGAATAATACTAAAGCGAACACATCGTGTCGCACACATTCATCTGCTGCTAGTTGTCCCAAAATATTTCACATCTAGTCAATTTCGATTAATACGCGCGACATTCCTCTACGATGAGTTACATTCGACAGTGATAACACAGTTTGAACGAGCCGTGATCTTTCATATTTCAATAGCACAGTTTGACATCCTATGCCAACACTGTGACGCACATGGGAGACTGAAAAACAACCCCGAGTTAATAAGTATCAAATATAACAATTTCTATCAAAATTAACGGAGAGCTGTTGCTTTGATACCTTCGTATTGTGACGAAACGCCATTCCTATAATCCAAGCGTGATCAAATATCCAACCATTTTGATTCTTTTGATTCTAACAAGCGAGGAGTGTCCTCTCAGCGAACAAATGCCGATAATGTCTACTGTGTGTTTGTTTTAAAATACTTATAAATAGTTGAAAAGTTTTTAATTGTGCGTAGAGATAATAAGAGTGTCATCACAGCAGTCTTTAGCGATATAGCTACAACAATTATAAAGACACTTAATAAGCCCACACGCAGGAGATTGATATTACGTTTGAAGCTTTTATTATAAGTTTAAATTTCTATTTAAAGCATCAATATAAGATATGTAATCCGCTTAGCCACAAAGATTAGTTTTCGACATGGCCATACTAAGGAAGTAAGGAAGTCGAAAATATGATACATATGTATGGCTCTTGAAACGTCTGGACTTGAAGTGAATTCTTCGTTCTATACCAGGCTACAAACGTTTTGCAAATTATACCTTAATATAACCTTACATATATATATATACCTTACATATATATATATACCTTACATATATATATATATATATACCTTACATATATATATATATATATATATATATATATATATATATATATATATATATATATATATATATATATATATATATATATATATATATATATATAAACAGTTTTGTTTTTCGTTATAGATAAAAGAGTGCTCAATACTACAAATTATTTAGCAGAGCGAATTAATTTGTTATCTTAAAATGTTTCAATTTCTCGCGAGAAATTGAAACATTTTAAGATAACAAATTATATATATATATATATATATATATATATATATATATATATATATATATATATATATATATATATATATATATATATATATATATATATATATATATATATATATATATATATATATATATATATATATCTGTATATGGTGAGATAGGACGGACACCTCTGATTGTCGAAATAGCTACATTTATAGCAAAATTTTGGTGTCGCATAAAATCTCCAACTCTCACAAATAACCTTGCAAGTGATGCGGCAAGAGTATGCATGCGATCCAATTTACAACCAGTTTTATTCACATTATATTTACTGCAGTTATTCACATTATATTTACTGCAGTTTTATTCACATAAATATTTACTGCAGTTATGTAATATTAAGGTTGATAATTTTAAATGACTTTACAATACCATCAGACCAACAAGAAAATTTTTTCCATTCTTTAAAGAATTTACTACATGAATATTTTATTAAATACTGGAAACAGCAGATTCAACAAGGTGGAAATAATGGTAAACTAAGAGTTTACGAAAACTTGAAAATAAATTTCGGTTGTGAAAGGTATCTTTACTTAGTCCAGAATTTCAAATACCGTCAAGCTGTTACAAAACTAAGGATCTCAGCACATAGATTACCTGTTGAAACTGGTCGATATAACAATGTTCCATACAATGATAGGCTATGTAAACATTGTGACATAAATGAGATTGGAAATGAATACCACTTTCTAATGTCATGCAGAAATTCTAAATTTATTAGTCTTAGAAATATTTTTATAAATAATTTATGTAAAATAAATCGTTCTTTCTGTTTGTTCACTCAACAAGATAGTTTTTAGATATATTATGGCTATTCAAGATAAGACAATTATGAACTTGGTTGCCAAATACTGTTACGACATTTTAGCAGTTTTTGAAAGCTTAAATTAGGTTATTAGTAAAATTTTTATATTTTTTGTATGTATAATGTATATGGTAGATTTTTTTATGTATGTATCTTGATATACCAAAACTGGTATTTTGTTGATTAAATATATTATTATATATAGAAATTGACTCAGTGTTTAAGAGGAGATATATAATACGTCGATATTTGGTACGTTTCTCAAGCGGCAAACGAACTTAAAAAGTATGCTTAGACTTAGAATGCTGTTCTTAGGGTTTGTAATCCAAGTGAGTATATATATATATATATACATGAGACCTGACCAGGAACGACTGCGAAAAATGCAGCACAAGGTCCTCTGGTAGGAATTGAACCTACGGCCCTGCGATAGGTTCAATTCCTACCAGAGGACCTTGTGCTGCATTTTTCGCAGTCGTTCCTGGTCAGGTCTTAAGATGTATATATATATATACTCACTTGGATTACAAACCCTAAGAACAGCATTCAAATATTAATACCACCAAGTGAAGTGCAAGTAACTAGATTATTGAAGTCCTGCTTAGACTTAGTGCTTTTTCTGTAAAATAATGCTAAAATGAAAAGATTTAGATGGTACGCCAAAGAGAAAATTATGTCAGTAAGTTTTGTTTATAAATATATTGAATTATTGCTGTAAATATGGCGTCAATTTTAAAATAAATTGATAATTTTTTACTGATTATTTCATGTTTCTCAACCGGCAAATGCATTTAAAAAGCTAGCTATAACTGTGTAAACTACAAAATAAAGCTAAAACAAAGCAATTCATGACTAGAGGAACGTCAAGTGAAAAATTGTTAAACTGAAAAACCGGCTATAACCAAATATAGGTACGTAAATAGCTAAACAAAATGGCGGCAAAACTCGCATGCAAGTTTATATAAAAACGACGATTTTGCAAGTTTGTGTTAAAATAAAGAATGTAAAAGAGAAGTAAAATACACCACAGGCAACAGAATATACTGCCGAAACCGTTTAAGTGGGTTCTTTTAATTTTAAACTCGTTTACACTATAGAGTTTTTATCATGAGACTATACAATTGTTGTATGAATGTTGTTGACCTTTCTTTCGTCGCTATATAACAAAACACTAATGTCTGTTCCCTCGAGAAATATAGTCAGTTTTGTTTCCCCTTGAATCAGTCTCGATAATTGAGATTCTCTGGAAACCAAAACTAATGTATTATACCTTACCGTACCATACATTAAGATATACTACTTACGGCTGCAATTATATATCAAGCGATACATGTGGTCTGCGGTTGTTCACGCGTAATGACGTAATGAGACAGTTATCCGTATGAACGACCTGTTATATACGATTTTTGGACAGGAATTTACTCCGAAGAAATTATGGTCTAAATATAAACTTAAATACGAATAAATTTCATAACTCTCTGTCGTAATCGGATTAGAATTGGTTGGCTTTGATGCTAGGTAAGATTATTTGCAAAATTGAAGTATGGAATAGCGTAAGACTTATGTTTTAGATAATTTAACGGTTGAGTGGCCATGACCGGTAAATATGCAAACAGCGAAACAGTCCATCAACAACTTAGCTAGTTTTAGAGATTAATTTTATAATATTTCAGCAATGAATATCACTATATTAATTAAAGGAATATATATATATATATATAGCTAGCTACATTATACGAAACTTTTGTGATAAATATTAAATTTTCAAGGAATTAGTCGCTATAATTTTTTTTAACTCTTATATATGCTCTGAAACCTACAAAGCGCGGTAAAATATTTCTAAACAACATCCTAATATTACTACTTTCATACACTAATATTTGTTTCCCCGAAGAACTTTTTATAATCACAAATATGTTATTTTAATATATTTGAACATATTTTTTTTCTTATCAAAATAATGATATGCGAGCGCTTATATACGTAAATGCTAATATTTTAAACCGAGTTAAAATAAACCTACTTAAAATAGATCGCTTCGACTGGCTTACAATATCAAAGTTTCTGTGATCACAGCAGAAATTTTGCCGCATGTGTGGCAATTCTAAGTTTTGAAGGATTTGTAAGAAATGTTTGAGGGACCAGACTCTGAGCCGTATATTTAACAGTGAAAATCCTTCAAATCTTCCGGAATTTACCTGTGCAAATTCCTAATGTGATCATATAGAAACTTTGACAGTATTTCATAGCTGTCTATCGAACTATTATATATATATCAGTATTGCAAGCCATGGTCCCTCACTGTTAATTCTGACTGTTATTTTTACGTCTATCACAGATCAGTAAACAATGTGTTGGATATTGGTACACAGTTTGCTCATAGTGACAATCGTTGTGTCGTTTACGACGGGAGAAGGTTAGCAAAAATATTCGCACTACCGCGGACGCGATTCGACAACGCAACGCAGTTTTTGAATGTTAATAAAACAGCCAGTGAAAGGAAATTTTAAAAGATATACGTAGACCAAATAACACAAAATGTTATAGCGCTTCTAAATATTTGAAAAACTTAAAACCAGGATCAAACGTTATCGGTCAGTGAAAATAGAAACATCGCGCTGTGTTGTCGAACCGCGTCCGGTGTGTCTGGGTCTTTAAGAGGCAATTTTCTTCTATGTCACGTATTTGCCATGAAAAGTGTTCAAAACCTAAAATCTTCTTGGCGTTCTTCCGCTCAAAATTACATTATGTTAGCTTTATTTTGTAGTTTACATAGTTAGCAACCTTTTTAAATGTATCCGGCTGGCAGTTCTCAAACATAAAATAATACCTAGTTACTGAATATTATCAACACTAGATTCCCCTTATTATATACGTTTTCGTAGCACTTTGCATTGTGGTTATAGTGGTATCACTGATATTCAAGATGGCTTTTTTTTTGTCCTGACGTCCCGTGCAAGAACTTTTAAAAAAAGCTAGGATCAGGTGCGCGATAGCCAACAGCAAAATATTCGCGAAGACATTCAATATTTTCATTCGAGGCCGCTACCTTTATCAGTGATACCACTATAACCACAGTGCAAAGCGCTACGAAAACGTAATAAGGGGAATCATCAATTCAAATACAATTATCGTTGATACTGTAAAATTGACGCCATGTTTCTACAACAATATACGCAAAAGCTTCAGACATCATTTTCTCTCTGGCGTACCATCTAAAAGCTCTTCGTTTTAGCATTATTTTACAGATGAAACATACTTTTTAAGTTTGTTTAATATAGTCATAACCAAGTGGAAAAGACTATTCATTAGTTTTGAGCGCGTGTTACGTAACATACAAAAGATTCTCCTCTTATTTGCACGACATGTTGTTTAATTTGCCTGGTGCGATCAATTGTTCCCGTAACTGCCAACAGAGAGGTTTAGTAGTGACTTCTATTATCACTACCGCTTAAAGGATCATTAGCCAATCAGATGCGTTCAATCTACCTGATTAACCAATCAAATGCGTTTAATCAACCAGATTAACCAATCACATGCGTACTTAGTCAGTAAAAGGTAGCCGCAGTGGAGTAAAATCTAAACCTTAGTAAGTTCACTACCAACTGCTGCCTTGAGAAGCCTACTGAAAGCCGTCAATATTTCTCCTCAGTGAAATGGCCCAGTGGTACATACGGGTTACCTCAGCCTCAGATCGGTTGCCCGGATGATGGTGAGCTTACATGGAAAACTGGATGGACTTACCATGATACTGAAGATGACAATCCAGCCAATCAGCGATCAGCTATCTCTCACATGGCGGGAAACTTCACTCAACATGGAATACAACAGAAATTCTGTATTAAAGATAGTGCTGCTGGCGGGAGCGACTTCTGGCCGGAGGGAAAATATTGTATCTATAAGAAAGGTGCAAAGTTAATATCACGGCTGTGCTTCTCCTCTCTCTAGGAAGAACATCTTAGAAATGATAGAGCTATTCAGTATAAATAAAGTTAGTTTAGTTTAGGTTTCCTCCTGTAGCAACACTGGATCAATAAAAGATGATCCTTACTGGACCTCTAGGAACAACAGTTTGAAAATGATAGAGCTATCCAGTATAAATAAAGTTAGTTTAGTTTAGGTTTCCTCCTGTAGTAATACCGGATCAATAAGAGATGATACTTACTGAATTAGAACCTCTGGGAAGAACAGTTTAGAACTGATAGAGCTATCCAGTATACAGTAAATAAAGTTAGCTTAGTTTGGGTTTCCTCCTCTATAGTAACCCTGGATCAATAAGAGATGATCCTTACTGGATTTCTATAGCGAGAACAGTTTAGAACTGATAGAGCTATCCAATATAAAGAAAGTTATAGTTTAAGTTTTCGTCTGTAACAACACCATAGACGGATTTTCATATTTTTTACTGGGGTGGTGCCAGAAATTTTAGGGGGGTGAGCCGTGAGCAGGTGACTGAAGCAACACAAAGTGTCACCAAACCCCAGTAAGGTCTATATTCTAGGGGTGGAGCACTATAGAGCCGCGAGGGGGAGTCTAGAGAGCAGAAAACAAAGTATCCCAGGAAAAATTTGAAAAAATCATGATTTCTAGCTTCAAAAAAGTTTTTTGAAGTTGTCATATCAATGGATTTGGCATGTCCGATTGTCTGTTGAGACTTGAGAGAGTTAAAGTTAAATGAACCTGTAAAAGTGTAAACTCAATAGGCCAATACACAATATGCTTTTACTTTTATAAAGTCATTGACATTGTGTCGTTTGAATCAGAGTACAATTTATGATGCAACTCCGATGTAAATAATATTTGGGGCGTAAAGATTAAATCTAGGCAAGTCTATTTCCTAAAAGAATTAAAAACTAAAAATAATGTTCGTAAAAATTCCAAACGTTCCTTGCAAGCAAGCTATTTGCATGACAAGGCACTGCAAACTCTATTCAGGGGAGAGAATAGAGTTTCAAAGCTTTACAATTGCTCCAATAAACCAGTGAATGCAAGCGAGGAGCGATTAGTTTCAGAGTGTTGCACTTTCGTTTTCTATTTGAGTGTACTCCTACGTTTATTTTGTATCATCAACACTCTGCATGTTGGAGTGGACTATTTAATTATTTTTTATTATGCCGAAATTGGGGGGGGGGTTGAAATTTTTTGGAG